TACACATATATACACATATATACATATATACATACATACACATACATACATACACCCACCCACCCATATTTCAAATTACAAAATAAGATAATTACTGCATTTAATAATTTATAATAAAATGACAAAGAAAAAATATACTCTAAAGAACATTATAAATTAATTATTATTTATAAGATTAAAATCGTAGAAAAAGTACACAATACGTTGGTACAATAGTTAAATTGCAATTTTTTAGTTATTATTGGACATAAAATTACATACAAAATTACAAAAATAATATATATAGATTGATATTTATAAATGTAATTTAATTAATGTATTTATTTTTATTTTTATATTTTTTATTAACATCAAAAAATTGCACAAAAAAAAAAATACAGAGGGTAAACCATTCCCTCATAGGTGGCATGATACACTCAGCAATGTCTACACAGCGGGCAGCGGCGACGAGATACCTACGTGCAAATATCAGTGGGGTCAAACTTATTGAGAAATTTGTTTTTGTTTCATACTTCTTGAAAAATGAAATATATGGTGTACACCTAATATAGTAACTGATTCCATATGGGAATAATTCTCTAGAAGAAAGAACGTTTATGAAATTCAGTGTTACACTTCACGGGCATAAGAACATGCTGGTCAGAGGCAGTTCTAGTTTATATTCGACAGCCATCAGTAGGAGCATTAAAGTTAACAAAATTTTCAATGGGTATGTCACAGTGACCATGTTTACACTTGTGAAATAACCTATGATCAATCACTTCTCTTCTGTAAGACAGGGGTAAAATTTTAAGCTCAGTGAGCCTTTGTAGTCATAATCGGGATAGTTGAGAATAAATTTGGTTCCCCAACGTTGGAGTCTTTCAACCTTAAGTAAAATATATTCGATATCACTCCTAATGAGTGCTTTGAATCATGTTAATGCAACCTTTTTTGGTGCGTTGAATGCTATTGAACGCTTAATCATACCCATTTTCATGTTACATTTTTTAACAGTTTTACAAATATGGCCATCCTAACACAAGTTAGATGCTATTTCAACCCCAAGATCTTTACAGCCATTCATCGTATAAACATATTTAATTGGTCGTTTAGAACGTGTCAGGGATATAATTTGACATTTTGAAGGATGGAATTTCATATCCCAAACATTACTCCACAAAGAGCATCAATGTCCATCTGGAGCTGGAAACAATCATATAGTGGTATAAATTGATTTAAAACATTTAACATCGTTGGCGAATAATGCGACGGTCGAATTCATGGCAGAGCTTGGCAAGTCATTAATGAAAAACAGAAAAAGTAGTGAACCCATAATGGATCCCTGTGGGACACCCAAAATTACTGGAAGCCAATCAGAACAAACACCTTCGATTACGGCATGTTGCTTCCTGTTTAATAAATAGGCTTTAAACCATTCATGGAGATTGGAGTGGAAACCAAAAGAACGTAATTTGTGCAGTAATAATTTATGAGAGACACTGTCAAACGCTTTCGCGAGATCGAGGTAGATCATATCAACTTGCCCAGCATTGTCCAGATTCAGACTAATGTTGTGAAATACAGAAACATGTTGGGTTGGAGCACCCCTTAATGAAGCTGTGTTGAAGAGGATGTAATTTGATTTTGATAATGGGGAATACAAGATTAAAAATAGCACGTTCCTTGACTTTACTGGCAATACATAACAACGAAATAGGCCTGTAGTTAGCTATCTGCTGCCTATCACCTTTTTTAAATACGGGGACAACATTGGCTTTGAGCCAATTACTTGTTAATACACCAATATTAAGAGATAAATTGAATATATAACATAAAGGGGTTGTGATTTCAGCAGCACATTCCCTGAGAACTCTAGGGAACATGTTATCAGGTCCGACTGCTTTGGATGTATCTAATAATTGAAGAATTTTGAGCACGTCCGATTCCTCAATTAGTATGTTGCCTAAAAGCATGTCCTTCCATATCGGAATGTCTGGAAGCTCACATTAAGAATTAATATTTGAGAAGTTTGAAAAAAAGTATTTGTTAAATAGTGCCGCTTTACCTTTAGCCTCATTTGCTGATAAATCATTGCTAAATAAAACTTTCGGTAGGCACTTTGTTTTGTTTTGGCTCGAAAAAACGACCAAAATCTCTTTGGATTTTCGCCAATGGATGAGCCGAGGCCATCGATGTATTTAGTATATTTGGCTGAAATAGGATTTTTTAAACGATTACGAAGCTTACGAAAGACTCCCCTCTCCATTGATGGGGTAGATTACCTTTTTTGGTCCGTTTCCATGCAGTATACTGAACTAGAGAAACAACACTGTTGCTTATCTGCTGATAAGTTAGTACAAAGAGTTCTGACGCGATATTACGGTCTATTGATGTTCAATCATTCCAACCGCCTAGCATGCGCAGAACTAGATTTGTTGGGGGCGTCAACAGGACCTGGGTATTGGGAAAGGACAGACAAAACTGTAGAAATTTTTACTGCATGCGCAGTATCTCAGTGGTGAAAAAAATGGAATTTTTGGTGTAAAAAATTTAATTTGAGAAAAAATATGGTTTTTAATATTTTGGTATTTTTGACTATTATAGTACAAGACCTACTTGTACAAACAGGTTTAGAATCTATATGGTCATTCTTTTGTCACAAATAAGCAAAAAAGAATGAAAAAAAAAAATAAAGAAAATGAAAGATTTTTTGTTAGGCAAATGTCACTTTTCAAAAAGTCTAGTTTTTAATCTTGTGCATTAATCGAAGGTGTTTTTTCTGATTGGCTTCTGGTTGATCATCCAAACAGGCCTCCAGTGAAGATCCTGTTACCAAATCTTCCAGGGGTGGCACAAGGATTTACAAGATGGAGGGCTGACGTTGGGGATGGGGAAAAGGTCTCCGATGTATTATGTTGATTTTATATACTTAGTAGTTTGAGGCACTAAAAATAATTGTGAATCTCCGAGTTGTAAATAAAAGATATTTGATGTACAGCAGCAAATCAAAATAAAATTAAGGTGCTGTTCTACTGCCACTTTGGCCTTTTAGCTGCTTAAACACTCCTATCTTTTTTGTTGTATTTGTATGTTTAGTGCTCTCATTGCTGGTTTTTGAACGTTAAGTTGTGTTTTTACTGACCTTTTTGCTGTTTTGTACATCGTGAAGTTTGTTTTTGTACAATTGAGACTTAAAAGGCTAAGCTTGTTGCGTAAGGCGATTGGAGCTATTGTGATCAACATGCATAGCCCACATACCTGAGTGTTTACGTTCTAGCGAGAGGCTCACACCTATGCCACTAGCTATAAAGAATCATGATTTCATACACTCGAGAGTTCTTACTTACAGTACTTTTGAAGATCATCGTGATCTTCTCCCATTTAATGTTAATTTTATTTTGGATAAGTATAACTTGCACAGGCAAAGGAGAGGAAAAAGAAATGGAAAACATTTGAAGAGACAAATCAAGGTTTCATGGGAAAGTGCTGATAATAGGTTCTCTGATCGTGGTGTTAATATATCTAACCTTACAAGCATTGAAAGGGAACGGAATAATGCTCAACTAACACTGTCTTTCTTGATTACAAACCCATGGTCAGTTTTTAATAAAATGTACGAGCTTGAAATTAAACTGAAACAAAAGAATATCAACATTTGTTTACTTTAACAAAACATGGTTTACACCACAAAAACAACATAACATAGATGGTTATATGATTTTCCACAAATCCCATGGCTCCCGAAAAGGTGGAGGTGTAGCAGCTAGCTTATGTATCAAATAGCTTTCCTGCTAATATGGTCACTCCTGATATTTTAGTGCCGGACGAATTGGAGTGCATCTGGCTCTAATTGCACCCATATAGACTTCCAAGTGACGAGTAAGATTTATGTGTGCTCCTTATACGCCCCACTGATTTGAACATGGCAACCAAAAAGTTACTTACTATTAACATCTGTACGATGCTGCTGATCAAATAAAGACGGCTCATCCTGACTGAAAGTTGTTGTTGCTGGTAACTTTAATGGTTTCAAGCAAGTATTTTTGCGCCACTGGGAAGAAGTGACCACAATGTTATCGTTTGGCATCCTACTCTCGCACCAACACTAAGACCTTCGGACACAGATCATTTTCATTTGCTGCAGCCACACTCTGGAACGCACTACCACTTCACATTAAAAAAATCTACATCAATTGCTTTATTTAAAAAATCACTCAAAACGCACTTATTCCAACAATAACATGAAGTGCCACTGATAATTACTTCGGTTTTTTAAATGGCACTAAGTTCTTACCTTATTATTATTATTACTCATTTAAGGTCTAAAAGTAAACAGATATGAAACAAACAAGACCATTATCTGACACTAATTTAAGAAACTTTGGACAATGGCTAACATCAGTCGATTGGTCAGATATTTATGACACTCATAGTACTGTAGCTAAGGGGCCCTTCACAATTATCAACATTTTCATAAGCGTACAAAACGTACGTTTGGGGGGAGGGGGTAAACCCTGGCGTACGCTTTTAAAAACGTAACTAGATTTGAACTCGTCACTGAGGACGAGTTAGGTGATCCGCCGCACTTTGACCCACGAGGAAGTGT